TTTTTTTTTTTTTTTTAGAGACAGGGTCTCACTATGTAGTTGAGACTGACCTGGAACTCACTATGTAGCCCAGGCTGGTCTCGAACTCACAGTGATCCTCCTGTCTCAGTCTCCCTAGTTCTGGGATTACAGGCGTGCGCCACCGCACCTGGCTTTTTTATTTTGTTCTTTAAATTATTTATACTTTGGGTTTCTCATGTAAGAGAGACTATATGATATTTAGCCTTCTGTATCTGATTTATTTCATTATAGACTCAAGGTGCATCCACTTTCCTACAAATAACTCAAATTTATCCTTCTTTATGGATGAATAGTATTTCATTGTATAAATATACCATATTTTCTTTTTTCCAGTCATCTGTTGATGGGTATGTAGAGTGCTTCCAAAGTTTACCAATGAGTTGTGCTGCTATAAACTAGGGTATCACTGAAAACAACTTTTGACTTTTTCAGAAAGATACTTAGAAGAAATATAGCTGGGTCAAATAAGATTTCTATTTTTAGTTTTTTTGAGAAATCTCCATGCTGATTTCCATAGTAGTTGTAGTTGTTTACATTTCCACCAACAATGTAGACGAGTCCCCCACAACCTCACAGCACAGCAGTTGGATTTCTAAGGGAATCCATGAATACAAACTTTTACTTTAATTTAAAAATAAATAAATGTACAAATGTAACGGGAGAAAAGTGAATGTTCTTGGCTGTGGAATGCCAAACTAATACAGAAGAAATTGTGAAATGATGAAATAATCATTTAACACTATTATAGTAATTGACTTTAGACAAGAATTATCAATAAATGTTAAAATCATTGGGTGAAGTTTGGCCGGAAATACTATCCAAAGTAGCTTTGGATTTTTATTCTTTCTTTATTTTTTGGAACCGGCTATGAACTCTGGTCCTTGTGCTTGTGTTGCCTAGCAGAACCACTGAGCTAAATCCCCAGCCCTGGATTTTTATTCTTTATAAAGGTTTAAGTAAGGCATTTTTACAGTGGAGAAACCTGACAGACACCACCCTAACCAAACGATCAATGTCATCAGTTGTGGAATAAAATGACATAATGTGACTCCTGATGTGAGGACACCTATCTCTCACATGATATCCCTGTAAAAATGCATGTGCTCAAACTAATACAAAGAAACAATCTGAAAAAATGCAAATTGAGGAACATTCTACAAAACAACTGACTGATCTATCTTCTTTTAAAAAAATCAGTCTTGAAAGAAAAAAGCTGAGGAATGGGTCTAGAATTAAGGTATTAATGAAATGCTGCTAAAGACAACATATGATCATAAAAAAATGTTACAAAGGAAATTTTCAGAACAGTTGTGGAAATTTGAATACAGATTGTATATTAAATATGAGTATTGTTTTAATGTTTAGTTTCTCAGATTTTATAATTGTACTGTTATGAAAGAGAGGGCTTTTGTCAAGAATAATAATTATTAAGGGATACAAGTCTGTGTATATGCAAATTATAAGTGACATGTGCAGTTTATTCTCAAATGGCTGATCAAAAATAAATGTGGCAAAACTTTAATTGATGTATGTAGGGTAAAGTGTATATGATAGCTAATTGTGTAGTTCTTATAATTTCTGTCTAGTTCTAATTCTTAATGAAAATTAATATTTATGCAGTACATATATATATTGCTTTTTTAATGCAAGACTGAGTGGCTCTTGGGCCCTTCACTACCCACTGTGCTTCTGATCTTCACTCTCCCCCAATCCTTTATTCTACTGTGTATTTGTGAAAGGGAGGGGAAAAAATGGGAGAAGACTGTAAGACGAATCAAATTTCTGGATTGATGGGAGTGGTGTATGAGGGTTCTTCTAACTAGACTAGGAGCCCACGTATTACCGCAGTTTAAAAATTGTTCCCATAAGGCCAGGTGTGGTGGCATATGCCTGTAATTCCAGCACTTGGGAGGCTGAGGCAGGAGGATAGATGTGAGTTTGAGACCAGCATGGGCTACATAGTGAGTTCCAGGTCATTCTCAACTACATAGTGAGACCCTGTCTCAAAAACCAAACCAAACAAACAAAAATTGGTCCCATATACATTTGCTACTTAGAGAAATGTTTTAATTGTTTGCAGGTCAGTGAAAAGCCACTTACTTATTCAAGAGTCAGCAAATGCATATAGACCACTAGAATCAATAGCCTCTCTCTTTACAGTACACCTTTTTCATATTAATTTTATTAATTGAATTATTAATTCAATCCCCTTTCCCTCCTTATTTACAGAACCTCCTTCTCCTATTTCAACTCTTTATGTCTCTTAGATTCCTTTGCTTCTGATTGAGTGATAGCAATTACTAATTTTATACAACTCCTGCTTTTCTCCTCTTTCTCTTCTTTCCTCCTCTATGTCTACACACACACACACACTCACTCAGGAGAAATGATAACAGACAAAAGGGACAAGGAGGAGAAAGGAGAACTTCCTAAAGTTTCCATTTTGGCGGGGGGGTACCAGGGATTGAACTCAGGTCCTTGCCAAGGCAGGCCACCGAACCACTGAGCTAAATCCCCAGCCTTCCATGTTTTTATCTCTGGTTTTAGTTTAAGTGAAGGAGAGCATTCCAATCACCACATTTTCTATTTACTTGATCTTTAAAATGCAACATTTGCAGCTGATGCTGTGAGCCCACTTGTCATTGAATTGAATAAAAAATGTTAACACTTCAAAAGGCAAAAGGATGTACACAAAAATTTAAGAAGAATGGTAAGAGATAGATAAGAAATTCTCTAACATACTTAACTTGAATAAAATAAATTGTAAACTAAAGTATGGCATAGAGAGAACAGTTAAAGTAATGAAAGAGTGATATGAAATTGGAGGAAAGAAAATTTTATGACTCACAACAGCACATACATATTTTACTGAAGCAGACAGCCATGAACTTGAAAATCAAGATATTTATCATTTGTTTCCTTAATTGTGAATGTTTGCATTTTTACTGTTTTTTTCTTCTTCTTCTTCAAGAGTGAAAGAAAATCAATACCCTTGGAGTTTTAGTCTTGGATTTATATTTAGTTAAAATGAAAAAAGGTGAAACATTTATTAGATAACTTTACTTAGGAAAAATAAGTTATAATGGTTTGTTTTATTGTATTAAAGACAGAGCGCATGAGAACATCCAAATCACTGACTATGCCAATGCTAAGTACCTCTTATTAGTTTAAAGTGCAGGGCTGGGGATTTAGCTCAGTGGTTCTGCCACCTACCTTGCAAGCACAAGGTCTAGAGTTCATCCCCCAGTACAAAAAAAAAAAGAAAGAAAGAAAGAAAAAGT